CTGACTCAGAAAGTCTGGGGATGGGACCCAGACATCTATATTTTTTAAAGCTCCTGCAATGGTTCCAGTAGATAGTCAGCTGCTCCCATGGAACTTTGCAAATCCTATTCCAGATTTCTAGATGTGGTCATTAACACAGTGTAGACAAGAGCTGGGTCAGAGACAGGGAAGAATGGTTTAACATATTTGACCATCTTGTCACAATGAATCCTCCATTTCTGATGAAATCCTTTTACCTAGTGACCAGTTCTTCAAAATTAATTTCAACATCTTGGCAAAAGATGAAAAAAATTAAAGAAATGCATTACATTGCTTCACTGATTTTAGGAAACTGAACCATGGGCCAAATGTGGTGCAAAATAGGGACTTTTTTTAAATGATAGTTTAAAAAGTAAGTAATGCACAGATTTGGAAACTATTTTAAGATCCCTTCATTCTGCTAAGGTTATATGTGTTCCAGGGGTCAGAAAGACCAAACACTATAGAAGAAAAAACAGAAAAGTTTGAAAAATAGTTTAAGAGTGAGAATGAGGATGTTTTTATACAGAGTGGAAAATTTGTTGGAAAAAAGGAAAAGCAAAAAACCAAGGGCAAGTAGAGCTCTAGGCTCCAGCCCAGGGGCTTTCCCACTAAATTCTGCACTGTGACTTGGAGACCTCTCAACTCCGTGAACCTCATTTTCTTCCCTTTTAAGTGGGCGACATCACCCTGCTGAGTGCCAGTCCTCTCTAGCAGCCAAATATTCTCATTCTATCATGTTTTACTCAAAATTGAACTGGCTAAAAGTAATTTAAGTCTTGCCCTTCTTGACACGAAGGCAAGAACAGCATTGCTCACCAAAAGGCATGGTCTGAGGACCCCTCCCAGGCCAGGGTTATTTTTTACTAATCCACAACAGATAAGAATTTGAGAGTAAAGATTTAGAAACTTTCACAGAAATTGAATAATCTGTCAAGTCACATAACAAAATATTGAGGCTTGTATTTTGTATATCTTTGTGTTATTTCACTTTTCTATTAATTAATTTTATAAAAATATAAGTCGATGGCAAAGTAGAACTTTTTTTTCATTGGTCTTTTACCACGGACAGCTTGGGAAGCCCTGAGCTAGACCGGTGTTACATTTCAACATCAATGCAAAAGGTGCACACAGAAGAGGAAAGGTGAATGCGACTAATTTTTACCTTACCCACTTTGGATTCATGTTTTAAAAGTCTATTTCATTTTACTTTAGATTGTTATTATTAAGTTATTTTGTGCCATAGGTCTATCTGCATTGTTAGCAGCTCTTTAAAAGAAAACCGCCTTCACAACATTGTAAATTAACAATACTTCAATTAAAAAAAAAAGAAAAAGAAAGTAAACAGTCTATATTAGAAAACAAGTCGTAAAGGGTCGGTTTAGCAATACAGCCGTCCCTCGGTGTGACGGGGGGATGGGTCCCAGGAGCCCCCGCGCATACCAAAGTCTGAGGATGCTCGAGTCCCTTATATAAAATGGTGTAGTTCAGTGAATACAATCAGCTCTCTGAATCTGGGATGCGAAACCCACGGATATGGAGGGCCGAATGTACGAGCTCATTTTCTGGGAGGAACCACAATGTCAGGTGACAGGGAGAAGTGATTAATTTCCTGTTGGGAAAGGGAGGTACTCTCCTTTTCAAGAAGCAAATTAAGTCTCTCCCTCCTGACTGGAAACAGCTATCATAGGGTATGAAACTATTAATGTAGGAACACCCTTGTTGAAATACGAGGAAGCCTGAACAGGGAGGTTCATTTTCCCAAGATCGTGCAGCTAGCACATGGGGAGGTCAGGATTCAAACCCAAGACACTGTACACTAACAATACCTGCATTCTTTCTGCTGCTCCACCATAAAAATGCTCTAGGGGGAACCCTGAGAGTGAATGCTGATGTAAGCTTCACTTCCAGGTGCCTGAAATAGGGTAATAAATAGTAAAATAATGTGGAATGCTTATGAATCTCCTTAAACATAAATTTCCTTGTTCTATTTAGAGCTTTCTGCAATAGACAAGATCAGTGTTTGTCCCAGACTGATTTGCACATCACACAGGGAAATACGAGAGGGAGAGGAATGTCAGTGCTATCCACACCAACTGTCTTGAGACTGGTTTGATCTAAGTTACTAATAAACATGCTCCAGAAGCAAACCACCCGGTCCTTTTAGGAAATAAGTGGGATATCAGTTAAAAGTAAGTGAATATGCCTTAGAAATATCAAGTCTTTGCAGAGATTATATAGACACTGTAAGGAATCCAGAGACTGTATTGTTTAGTTTAATATGTGCCTGTTCAGTGAACTAAACAACCTTGCTTCTTCAGAGAACTATCTGCACCGGGAACTAAAATTGTGAATCAATTATCTGGCTCTAAACAGTGCCAGGAAAAAAAATCAGATTTTGAATATATGGACAATACAAATGTTTTTGGTCTATATTTTTAGCATTGTTTAGTTTTAGCTTGAGAATATAGCATTTTACTCAGCTACATCATTGTTTACCAACAATGATATTAAAACTAATAATTAAAATTAATAAATATGAAAATTAATAACTCTGGGGGGGTTGCCATACTCTAAAAACATTTAGCAAAATATTTTATCTTCCCTGTACATGCTCGTGACTTTTTAAAGGCACAGAGTGAATGATCCCTTAGTTCTTGGCACCACTGATTAAAAGTTAATATTTGATAAAGGTATCAAGCTATCAACACTGAAATCTGCTGGTTAGGTGCAATGGTTGTGGCCACTTCAATAACAAGAATAATCTGGATTTTTTTAAAAGCTCCTGGGTGACACTACTTGGCATATACACTGAGAAAACCATAATTCAAAGAGTCATGTACCACAATGTTCACTGCAGCTCTATTTACAACAGCCAGGACAGGGAAGCAACCTAAGTGTCCATTGACAGATGAATGGATAAAGGAGATGTGGCAGAGGGCTTCCCTGGTGGCGCAGTGGTTGAGAGTCCGCCTGCCGATGCAGGGGACGTGGGTTTGTGCCCTGGTCCGGGAGGATCCTACATGCCGCGGAGCGGCTTTGCCCTTGAGCCATGGCCGCTGAGCCTGTGCGTCCGGAGCCTGTGCTCCGCAACGGGAGAGGCCACAACAGTGAGAGGCCCGCGTAACACACACACACACACACACACACACACACAAAAGATGTGGCAGGTACATACAATGGAATATTACTCAGCCATAAAAAGAAGTGAAATTGAGCTATTTGTAGTGAGGTGGACGGACCTAGAGTCTGTGATACAGAGTGAAGTAAGTCAGTAAGTCAGAAAGAGAAAAACAAATACCGTATGCTAACACATATATATGGAATCTAAAAAAAAAAAGAAAGAAAGAAAATGGTTCTGATGAACCTAGGGGCAGGACAGGAATAAAGACACAGACATAGAGAATGGACTTGAGGACATGGGGAGGGGGAAGGGTAAGCTGTGGTGAAGTGAGAGAGTGGCATGGACATATATACACTACCAAACGTAAGGTAGATCACTAGTGGGAAGCAGCCGCATAGCACAGGGAGATCAGCACAGTGTTTTGTGACCACCTAGAGGGGGGGGATAGGGAGACGCAAGAGGGAGGGGATAAGGGGATATATGTATATGTATGGCTGATTCACTTTGTTATACAGCAGAAACTAACACAAGAATGTAAAGCAATTATACTCCAATAAAGATGTTAAAAAAAATAAAATAAAAGCTCCTGGGTGAAATTGGCAAAGACACAAATTTCCAGTTATGTGAGAAATAAGTCTTGGGGATGTAATGTACAGCATAGTGACTGCAGTTATAATACAATACTGTATATTTGAAAGTTGCTAAAGAGAGTAAGTATTAAAAATTCTCATCACAAGAAAACAAATTCTGTAACTCTGTGGTGATGAATGTCAACTAAACTTACTGTGGTAATCATTTCACAATATGTACATATATCATTATGTTGTACAGCTAAAACTAATACCATGTTATATGTCAACTGAATCATTTTTTAAAAATAATAAATAAAAATAAGCTCCTTATCTTATCTCAAGATAAATTTTAAGTATGTAGACCCGCTCTGAGATTATAATGGCATTAGTTCTGAGTCTTTGCGTTTGAGCACATCATTTTTCAAGTCAACCTTCAGCTGACTGTTATGCGGTCTTAGTTGGTCTTGAGTAGACTCTGCCTATCAGTTGGTCTTTTGGCCTCTGAGATACAGACAGCATATACCAGTGATGCTGTAGGATTATGTGGGAGACAGTAAAGAAATAGAAAAGTAAAAACAATAAAATCTAATTACACGGAGTTTCGCTTAAAACAAAAATTGATTGAGTTCTGCCCAAAGTGGCTTGCTGTTTCCTGTGCCAGGAACTACTGTGCAGGCCCAGCAGGAAGTGTGCTACAGAGCAGGATCGCATTACACCCTTGTTTTATGGTTCATTTCACTTATTTAATGCAATCCGAGAACCTGCAAAAGGAACATGTTCGAAGGAGGGAATAGGCTTTTTGTCTTGTTTTGTTTTGTTTTTTTAAGTTTCTTTGAATCAAAACATTTGTTTTTACAAGGTGCTTATAGTCCCAGAGAAACAGGACTTCCAGAGTTGCATGGTGAAGACATTTCTCTTTGCCACAAAATTTAAAGCAGGACCCGACATTGAGTTATGTCTAGGGTGGTTGAGTTATGTCTGTTCCCTTTGCTGGTCTACTCAGGTCATTTTAAACATAAAGAATTACAACCATGCCTATGAATGGTCTAAATCATTTGAATTCCGTATCAGCTCCTCCTAGGGTCTCTGATTTGATTGAGAGCCCATGGTGTTGGGGGGGACACGGGAGGAAAGGAATATATTTAACGTGCAAAAGAGCGATTCATTTGTCAAGCAACACAACGAGTTCCTTTGGCTGTATTGCTTGCAAATGTGTGAACTGAACAGCTGGACTGCCTTGTGGTGGCAGACGCCGCTCCTCACACACTGCCTCTCTTCCTCTCCAGAGACCTGAGTATGAACAACATCAGTCAGCTTCCCCCGAATCCTCTGCACGGTCTCCGCTTCCTGGAGGAGCTGTAAGTATCAGCGGAGTCGTGCCGCATCCAGTCAACACTGGACACGTTCTTGTATTTGTCTCTCGTCCTTACTGTGAGAACCAGATAAAACAAGGCAGGAAAGCTGTCAGCACCAACGATTTGGGCACATGAGGAAACACTTAGCTGGGAGGGGAAAAGAAAGAATCGCTTAGGATTCTGGAAATCAACTTATAAAAGGGTTTACCATGAAGCTACAACTTTCTAAGGTGAGGCTGAGCCAAACAAATTAAAAGTTTAAAACAAAAGCTGTTTAAAAGAGCTGGATAGCTCTTTGGAAATAGTTAAGCAGCAGGATATTAGAAGTTTGAATACTGGTTCATGTTTATTAAAATTGCAAGTAAAGCCATAATCAAAACCAAAAATTGCCTCTTGGTTTGGCTTATGACAGGGAGAATTGAGTCCTCATTTCATAGCACCAAAACTTCTTGTCCTAATCACTTTTAATTACTGTTTTCCTACTTTTAAATTGAGCCTCCCTGAAGGCTTGAACTGAAGACCATGAAATCCACAGAGGACTTAAAACTGGTCTCTCCCAAACTCACTGTAAAAAAATAAAATTCAATTTTTTTAAAAAGGAGGAAGCTAAAATTAGCTAATGATACACAGAGGAATCTTGATTAAGTCTGGTAATCACTTTCCAGAAGATGAAAAAGAACTCTATAAACCAAAATCTGCATTTAAAAATTCATTTGATCCTCTTACTCTTTTGAGGGACGGGGACTTAGGGGAGGGATGCACCGTCGTCATAGGCTTCATGAAGGTTTGGCACCATCAGCTAAATAAATCCTCTAACTGTTGATTAAAGGAATTGTTTAGGCAATGACCTCTTTTGAAAATACCCCTTTTATAATTCCTAGAGTCCGGGTCCAATTTGGGGAGTAATTTAAATTGTTGATGCACCACACGATCCACCTTGGGAGGTGGAAAGAACCATCCATCACAACCAAATTACACTACACTGATCATTTTTTTTTCAAGAGGATAATATTCTCAAATTTCTCCCCTTTAGAGTTGGATCTGTATTTATTTTTGATGGCGTTAGCTTTCTCACAAATGTTATTATTTTACTACTGAAATCAGCTGAACATGCCCAGATTGTTATCGAGGAGTATGGTAAAAAAGCTTAGATTACTAGATTATACAGCAAGTTTTTATTATTCAAAAAATGGATTTTCACTTTGTCCAGCCTCCTCTTTTTCCTCTTCTCTTTTCTCTCTGGCCATTTCTGTTGCTAAAAATGTAACCCTCATCAGGACTGGGACCATGTCTGTCCTAGTCTTGGCTGGTATGTAATGAATAATCAATACATTTTTGATGAATGAATGAATGAACTAACAAGAAAGCAAAGCAAAACATATAAAAGGAGCTTCTTATACTTGTTCACTGCCTTAGAAAAAAGTAACAGATTTAGTTGACATGAGCCAATATTTTTAGATTATTTTTAGTAAATTTCAAACATCAGCATTTTTTTCTTGTTTACATTCTTCTCATCTGCCCTCTCTCGCCATAATTAATATACAATACTTAGAAATACTAAGTATTTATTCTAAGTATTTAGAAATACTTATTTCTAAAATATGCATTCCCAGTGCCTTTCTCTTTAATTTCCTTATAATATGCAATGGCAAAAGGCTTCCATTCTCCTTCAACAGACACCTCAGCTTTAGACCACAAACCAAATCAATAAATAATTCACTTCCCCAAGGACTTTGTTTAATAGAGTTCCTCCCTTGGTGACCCAATTCATTCAGAATAACTCCTCTTTCTTCATGAGGTGAATGTTAATTTTCATCCAAGACCAGTTCTTCAAAAGATAATCGAGGGAAAAAATAGGGGAAAGAAGGTGAGGGAACTACCATTTGAAAAGCCTATTTTTACAAATTACCTTATTTTTATGTCTCTGGAAATTCCATCAAGTATCTTGACCATGGAATCATAGAATTTCAGAAGTAGATGGGACCCTTTAAAGACTATTCGTTCCATTTCCTCCTTCTGTTCTGAAATTCCCTCTGCTGAGCTGGCCAACTTGCTGAATTTAAAAGCAAGACCACTTTCCCATATATAATTCTGTGCTGCATCTAACTGATGTTTTGAAGACATCATTATTCATTTAGTGGCAAAAGGGGATAATATTTATAGAACCTGGAAAAATGATCAACTCTGCTTGGTCTATTCCTTTCTTCTCAAGGTTAAATTTAGGGTGTTGCGGGTTTAAACACACACACCCATTTAGCAGAGCATTTTGATCATGCCTTTGTTTATGTGCTGATTGTTTCCATTAGACTCAGCTATGTTTAAGTCTGTATTCTCTTCTGGAGTATAAGATCTTCGAAATAATAATATAATTATAATGACAACATTATAATAATATAATTATAATGACAACAGTAATAGCTTACTCTGTGACAGGCACTGTTCAAAATGTTTTGCACACATTATCCCACTGAATCCTCTTAACAACCCCATAAAAGTAGATATTATTATTATTCTCACTTCAAGATTAAAAAAAAAAAAAAAAAAAAAGAAAACATAGTACAGAGAAAACAAGGAACTTACCCAAGATAATGGAGTACATAAGTGTCAGAACTAAGATTCAAATTCACTTCCAAAGCCATACTCAGAAAGCAGAAGGAGGCTTTGGAATTGTTCTTCATTCATCTATGCTTTTCTTTCCCTCGATAGTACCTAGTATAGTGGTCTGCACAGCTGAAGAATTGAAACTCTTGTTAAACTGAGCTTCGTAATGATATGTGTGTTCATCTGTCTGTGTCTGGGTATATGTGAGGGAATGAAAAAGAGTGAGGCAGAAAGCAAGAAAGAGCTGTCTACCCAGCAGGGAGAGATTGGATATCCAGGTTATTCGTTCACTACCCTCGTTTATTGGCTCTGAGAAAAGTATCATCATAATTTTCAGGTGCAGAATTTCACCAATTTCACATTACTCGACAGGAACAAAACCTTAGTTATTATTTTTACATATGCATAAATATACTTAAGCAGCATGTTTCATATAGTATTCTATTGGGTTGGCCAAAAAATTCGTCCAGGTTTTTCCATAAGATATTATAGTAAATAAATGACCTAATAATAAATAAATGAACTAATAGATGACCATCCATACAGCTAGAAACAGACATTTAGATATCTGTTATTGTATGTGTTATATCTGTTGTTGTATCTGTTATTGTGTGTGTGTATCTTTTGTTATGACAAACTGTTAAAATGTTAAACTGTTCTGAAAGTATTCTTTTGTTCAGTTTACTCAGCTCATCTCTATGCTTTATTGTTTATCCATTCATTCAGAAACTGGTACTGATATTCTCAATGATATTAATAAAATTCCCACCACAAAACCCAAGTTTTAAAAAACACTATTAATAAAGCCAAGTTACCACTCTTCCCCTTAGCTCTAATTGCCCAATTATCATCTCCCTAGTTTAATCCATCTATGTCATAAGCTGTGTAGACAGTCATGATTCATCTCTCATCCATCACTGGTCCCTTAGAGGATTTCAAAATCCTCTAAGAATCAATAAAGCCCTAGAGGTATCCCTAATGTATTTTTTAAATATATTGTAACCCTGGAGAAAGTGGCTTTGTGGAGCAAATATTTAAGAAGAATTAAAGCCATCACGATTAATGGTCTTCTCTTCCTCCTGACCTTCTGGAACACTTACTACCTGTGTCACATGTCTTGGTACATTCAAGTCTTGTTTGTTATTTGTTATTTTTGTTTTATGACTCCGCAAGGTGACCAGGCATGCACAGGCCAAACGCCCTGCTGGTGCAACGTGATAGCACAAGGAAGAGAGAGAGCCTTTTTCCTAAAAAAAAAAAATCTGAGTGTGGTTAGGCTGTGTGCTGTGTAGAGAGGAGAACACAGTACCTAGAAGCAGAAGCAAGCCCAGGACTCCTGTCCTGACTCTGCTACTTACTAGGGGATAATCCACTTGACCTCCCTGGGCCTCAGAGCATGATGGTGAAAGCCGCCCTTGCCTGTTTTGAGATTCTGAGCATCAAATGAAATGATGATGAAAGAACTTTGGTAAACTATAATCTACATATTGAGTTGTGTTAGCAAAATGAAAACACTTTCAAGAGGATTCTCACTTCCTTCTTTCCTATTTCATGAGCTTGATTTTGGAGTAATCCCAGGGATCCAGGATTTGTGAAGGAAAAACTGTTTCCAACCATGAAGTTTAACGGATATAGGCAACCAGTGCAGATAGTTTTTACCGAGTTTGAACATCCTGAGCAATAATTGCATTTCTCTCCAACAGTATCTCTCCCAGTTCTATTCCTTCAGTTCTACTAAGGACTTCATGTTGATGTTTGCTATTTGGACAAATAATAAATCCCACATTTGGTCCATCAGAGTGTGGTTCAGATGTTAGGAACTAAAAGATCGTGCCTAATGCTGACATGTACAAGTTCCTTTAAACTTAGATTGGTACCTTGATTAAATCAGAGGGAAAAATGAATTGTTATCATTTTGAACAGTCTAAGTTAAAGGCCTTTGTTTCCCAGTACTATTTTAAAATCTTCCCAGATTCTAATGCTATTGGAATCAAATACTCGATTTAGGAAGGAAACCTGAGATGCTCTAGGGAGGTTTGTTTTTAAGTTACTATTGTTCCCTGGAACTGTTTGCTCATATTATGGTTGGCCTTAAAGAATCTCTATATAAATAGTAGATATCTATTATTTCAGATGAAATTAGTAATGAGAAATACCACCAAACTTCCTGAAAGTACAGTCTATGCTTCTTACTTCTACTTCCTCATCATGTTGCTAAAAATAGTGAGAGCTGTCCTGCCTGTCTTTTGAGATGTTTGTCTGAAGATCAAATGAATTGATGATGAAAGAACTTTGGTAAACTCTAATTCACCTATTGGATTGTGTTAGTGAAATGAAAACACCTTCTTGCCCATAAATAATCTTCCTGACCCTTGGCCTTGTCAGAGTGCTCAGTCTCTCCT